GAATATTAGCAATACAAATGTCTGTTTGAAAGTTATCTTTCAAATAACTTTTTATTTCTTGAGCACCTCCATTTTCTAAAATATTACCAGACGAGAAACGAATAATGAAAGGGGGAAATGGAAGCCGCGCTTGAGCATAGAGAGCGGCTTCCATTGTTATTTGTTGTTGATCAAAAGCTTGATTTTGCTGATTTGAATATGGATTTGAAGTTGAGGGAGCAGTAACAAATCTGAAAGAACGATGTTGGTGTTGTTTATAAACATTAGGATAATAATTATTCAACAATTCTTTGTCTTGGTCATATTCACTAATAACATTTTTATCATTATTTCGACGTTTCTTATTAGTAACTAATGTAAAGTCATCGTCATCATCTTGTTCAGCATGTGAACGACGAAGAGGAGACGATGCAGGTGAATCGCAAGGACGAAGATTGGATGAAATTGGAGATGGAATATGAGAGTTGAAATAAACTCGAGACTGAGCTGTTGTATAAGGATTTTGTTGATTATCACAAATTATGTTTGTACGAATTTGTTTATTTTGATGGTTACTCATGATAATAATAATATATAATTAATCGTAATTCCACGAATTGATGGAATTATAGATAGGGTGAGCACGTGTTTCAACACGTGATCAATGGTGTATACTTGAAGGTATATATGCGTGTATGTAGAAAAAAAATACGTCTAATCACAACGAAGAAAATAGTTGAAGTGAATTACGTTTAACGAATTCAAATAATACATCATCATCATCATCATCATTTAATGAATCATTAGAACAAATTTTAAATATAACACCAACAATATCATTAACTATAATGAATATTATCGGTCAACAATAACATATATCGATGTCAGTTGAACAAAAATAGCAGCAACATTAATAGCACACCGAATAGATTATCTTATATTAAAAAATTCCTTAATACAATATCATCATATTAGAGAATTAATACGTCTTAATTGGTGTTTAGCATCTGAGTGAAAACAAAATTCATTTAAAACAAATTTAAAAAATGGTTTTATTATTATACATCAGACATTTAAACAAGAAAATTTCAATCCAAATGATACCTCTATTATAAATGATGATAATGAAGAAGATGATGAAAATCAATTAGCATGTTGTGAAGGATCAAAATTATTATCTATACCTTTAGCTCTTATATCATCAATTGTGGAAAATTTATAAAAAGAATTTTTTTCTTGGAATATTTTTTTATTAATTTAATACCTTATTGTTTATATCAAATAGTTCGTCATACATCATCAAAACAAATTTTTTATTAACATCACATGGTTCACATGGACAAGGTGAAAATTTAATACAATTTTTTTTTCTTCAAGAACAATTTCAATTATTAAATGAATCATCAGATAATTTTAAACATCATTACAATCATCAGATTTTTTCTTGTATTATGTCGTCTTTTACCATATGTACATTCACAACATGATGATGATGAAACTGATGATGATCAACGTCAAGATACTTTGGATACATTTTCTGAAGGAAAATTATTTCATAAAGATAATTATACAATAACACCACCAAATAAACAACAAGAACAAAATAATAATATGAACCTTCTTTATGTTCAATAGAAAAACCAATAATCATCGACTACTTATTTCTTCATGTCAATAGTAGAACAAATAGATTCCGAACATCATTTATCATAAGATGATGCTGAGCAATGTTGTCTTAAATTGAAGGAATATTTCAAAAAAAAATTTGTTTTTTTTTTAAATTAAAATATGGTCAAATACAATTTATACTTATTGATCCATAGGACGGTGCACATATTCAATGTGAAACAATTGATTTAACATTTCGAAATATTACAATGATGAATACAACAAACATAATTAATAATCGTTTATATACAAATGGCTCAATTGATTTATATTTTATAAAATTATTGAACAATGATTATTTTATATTCCATTTAAAACATGAATATCTTGGTCGTAC